TTCTTTTGCTTTTTCATTTGCTTTTGGGCCACGCTTGCTAAACTTTACTTTGCTTAAATTAAAACCATCGCTTGTGCGATAGATTCGTCAGGAAAAGCTTATTTTGTATGCCACGTCCCTTAAGGACGTGGGCGCTCACGGATCTCCACAGCTTCTTTCATGGCTCTAAGCCGTGTTTATCTCCTTACTACGCCCCCCCCCCAGCTACATTTTCTGGCATCCATTTACACAAGCTTCTTAGATAGGTTATACACAGTTTTCTTCTAGCCTTCTTGCATTCAATCTGTCTTGTGAGTGTTATATTCTCTAAGTTGTCTTTCCTCTTCATGTGCCGGGTTGCTGATTCATTTTATAACCTCTCTTGTAGCATAACTGTTAAAGAAACAAAAATCAAATTTGCTTGTTCGTCTGTTTCTTTTGTGTTTTTTTTTTCCTTTTCAATTTTGCAAAAAAAAGATGGTCAATAAAACAAACAAGTTATCGATGGCAAGTTATTTGCCCAACTTCCACCTTTTCCCATTTTTTTACAGCTAAGTTCCAACAAAGCCATCTGTACACGGGTAAACCATCCTCATTCCCTTCATAGTCCATTCGCAAGAAAAAAATTTCCATTCGGACAACTTCATTCCAAGAGAGTGTACGGCCATATCACGTTGAAACATCGGTTCCCGTACGATCACCGTGCAGACTCCCGAAAGGATGTTTCCCCGCCCGAACACTATAACCTTCATCTCTTCAACTGTTACTTATAATCTGTATTTACTTGCCCCTCTACCTCCTACGTAAATACAATAATCTCATTTAGTAAAACTCTACCTTGAATGGCTCTTAGGTCATATACTGGGAGAACATATAGTCGAAAATATCAGTACCTTTGTTAGTATATCATTGGTAGAATTTCTTCTGTACGAGAAGAGAATAATTCCTTCGTGTCAAGGGAATAATCGTCTTTTTGTCACACCGTTTTTTTTTTTTTTGGAGGGGGGGACACGTAGTTTAAAAATTGTCCCCAAAATCTTTATCTGGAAAAATATCGCTTGCATATAGCATTTTTTAAGAGTTTGAATAAAAATAATTCACATGAACAAAATATTTATTAACATTGTTATATACAGTGCCTACGAACACTATTTTAAGTAGGGGTTATATGCTATGTAAGTAGTCCACCATTGGCAGTGGTTTACCTACTTCACGCCGCTGGCGAGTATTGTATTTTATTAATGCTATAAAGATTAGAAATTTCATTTCCAACCACTCTTTTGGTTATTCCTCATTCAGTAACCCTTCCTAGGTTACAACACATAGATAGATAGATAGATAGATAGATAGATAGATAGATAGATCGATAGATAGATAGATAGATAGATAGATAGATAGATAGATACGAACAGACATAGATAGATACGAACAGAGATAGATAGATAGATAGATAGATAGATACGAACAGACATAGATAGATACGAACAGACATAGATAGATAGATAGATAGATAGATAGATAGATAGATAGATAATGAACAGACATAGATAGATAGATAGATAGATACGAACAGACATAGATAGATACGAACAGAGATAGATAGATAGATAGATAGATAGATAGATAGATAGATACGAACAGACATAGATAGATACGAACAGACATAGATAGATAGATAGATAATGAACAGACATAGATAGATAGATAGATAGATAGATACGAACAGACATAGATAGATACGAACAGACATAGATAGATAGATAGATAGATAGATAATGAACAGACATAGATAGATAGATAGATAGATAGATAGATAGATAGATACGAACAGACATAGATAGATAGATAGATAGATAGATAGATAGATACGAACAGACATAGATAGATAGATAGATAGATACGAACAGACATAGATAGATAGATAGATAGATAGATAGATAGATAGATAGATAGATAGATAGATAGATGCAAACTAAACAAAGAAACAAACAAAAAGTGGCAGAGTGTTATATACCGTACCTATGAACACTAATGTCACAATCCTAAAAAATACGTTGGTCACTATTGTAAGTGGGGGTAATATGGTGTCTACGTAGTCCACCATTGGCAGTGGTTTACCTACTTCACGCCGCTGGCGAGTATTGTATTTTTGTTGATGTTATAAACATTACCAATTCATTTCCAATCCCTGATTTGGTTATTCTTCATTCAGTAACATTTTTCTAGGTTACATTTCGTATATTTTAAAAATCGTTACGCAAAATAAATGTTAATTGTTCATTTTTGTAAAGGCAATTTGTTCATTCTTTATGTAGCTTTTTCATGGTAAGCGTTAATGTAGGCCCCCCTACGTTTGCAGTTCAAGGACAAATTCAAATACAGTTGAAATGCTGCAAACAACATCTCTATAGAGGAGTTCGAATTTGCTGTTGAAAATCGATCAAACAGGAGAAACACCTGCTACCGAGGTATAACTAACTTTGAAAAGAATCGTCCCAAACATCTGAGTGAATTAAGAATTAACACTAAATCTCGGCCTAATACATCAGCCCATATGACAATCAACTCTTCAGCGTGTCCCTCGTGAGGACTTGTTTACAAATCCCGTGCAGGATTGATGTCTCATACGAAA